GCGATTTCCTTATTTTGTTGTAATTCAAAAACGAATAACTGTAGATACATGAAAATTTCACTGAATGTTTATATTAGCATTTCCTATACACCATACAATTTTGAAAATATTTTGACTCTTTTTGAGCTGTTTATGGACATTTACAGCTTTCAATTTTTTTTAGTTTTTTTTTCTATAAATATCAATAAAGTTTTATCTGTTGGGCCAAAAAGTGTAAAAATTTAATACAAGGCTCCTGATATATTGTTACAATAGCAGTTGAAAAATATTAAAAATACATAGGCACAGTTTTTTTTTATAAGTATTTAAAGATCAAATTTTGACAAAATTTATCAAAATCTCGTAAATTATCAATCATTGTAATTAATAAATTATAAAATGTTCAGTTTTTATAGCTAAGGATTACAAATTCAACACAAAGGTTCTCATAAATAGTTCATACTATAACCAAAAAATCTAAAAAATATATGAACACACTTATTTTTTACAGACATTTTAAATTCAAATTTGGACGAAATTACATATTAAAAAACCTAGAATAACTATTTTAGTTATTTTGTTGTGATTGAATAATATTATTCGTGGGTACTTGAAACTTCTAAAGTGTACTATTATATATCTATGATAGTATCACGGTTTTTGTTGATGTATAACGCGTTATACGTATCTAATGGATATTGTGATATGATTAATTTGGAATTTATTATAGGTACCTATTATAGGTAAATTTTTTGTTTAATACCATAAATATGTATATAATATGTCTTATACCTAGAAGGACATACCGTCTCCGCTCAGAATCGTTTTTCTTATACAATGATATTATATCATTGAATTCAAATTTAATACCATCCATTATACAGTGACCCACTTGTAACCTACTGTACAGCAGAGCGACACCCACTTGCCCACCTTTTTTTTAGTTTTTTTTCTATAAATGTCAATTGAATTTTATTTGTTGGGTGAAAAAGCTTGAACATTTAATTGAAGGCTCTTAATATATTGTTACAAGGACAGTTGAAAAATATAAAAAAAAATTGTGACTGGGAATTTTTAGTAACTATTTTAAGTTCCAATTTTGTCAATATATGTAAAAATCACGAAAATGTGCAAATTATTTTGAAAAAATTCATAAAACTTTTTATTTTTAAATTTAAGATTTGAAAATGTAATACAAGATTCCTCATAAGTTTGTCTATCTTTATCAAACAAAAAAATATATACATGAAAGTCAAATTAAATTTTTATGAGCGTTTGAATTTTATATTTTTACAACATTGGATATACACTTGAATTCTCATGTGACGATTTTCTTATTTTATTGTCATTGAAAAACGAATGACTTTAGATACATGAAAATTTGACTGAATGTTTCTATTTTCGTTTTAAACACCACAAAATTTTCAAATTATTTTGACTTGTTCTGAGCAGTTAATGAACATTTTCAATTTTCAATTTTTGGTTTTTTTTTTATAAATATCAATAAAATGTTATTTGTTGGGTCAAAAACTTATACAAGCATTATTTATTCAATTTTTGACAACAATTATTAAATTTTAGATTCTGAGTGAAACGATGAATGTATTGATTTTCAATGATGATGTGTGTGTTTTTTTTCTATTTTTGTGTCTGTCATCACGGTTTAGGGCAGTAAAACTGCTTCGATTTTCTTCAACAGTATTTTGGTCGATAGGAAAGTGAATCTAGTTGGTGCATTCGGGAAGTCAAATTTTGAATATCCTAATAGTTTTCAAAAGCGACGGGAAAACAACATACAAATTAAGGAAAAACGGAATTTATACCCAAAATCGGTTTTCCACAAAATCGATTTTGGTTTTTGGTGTATTTCTAAAACAAATGAATGTAGATACATTACCTTTTCACTGGTTGTTTATATTTGCTTTTTTTTATACACGATAAATTTTTCAATGATTATGATTTGTTTTGAACTGTTTAGGAACATTTTCATTGTCCACTTTTTTTTAGTTTTTTTTCTAAAAGTATCAATAAAATTTTATTGGTGGTTAAAAAAGCTTAAAAATTTAATAGAAGGCTCCTAGTATATTGTTTCAAAGGCAGATGAAAAATATTAAAAATTCTAAGTCACAGTTTTTTTTTTAAGGATTTAAAGTTCAAAAATTGACAAAATATGGAAAAATCACGAAAATTAGCAAATTATTTTGAGTTCAGAATTCGTAAAAATTTTCTTTTTAAATCTAACATTTTAAAATTTAATATAAGATTATCTACCTATATCAAAAAAAAAATGTCTATAAGAAAATCAAATTAAATTTTTATGAGCGTTTGAAATTCAAATTTTTACAACATTGGATATTCACTCGATTTCTCATGTAGAGATTTCCTTATTTTGTTGTAATTCAAAAACGAATAACTGTAGATATATGAAAATTTCACTGAATGTTTATATTAGTATTTCCTATACACTGTATAATTTTGAAAATATTTTGACTTTTTTTGAGCTGCTTACGGACATTGTCAGTTTTCAATTTTTTTAGTTTTTTTTTTCTATAAATATCAATAAAGTTTTATCTGATGGGCCAAAAAGTGTAAAAATTTAATACAAGGCTCCTGATATATTGTTACAATAGCAATTGAAAAATATTAAAAATACATATGCACAATTTTTTTTTATAAGCATTTAAAGATCGAATTTTGACAAAATTTATCAAATTTAAAATTTAATAATTATTTTGTAGTTAAAAATTTATAAAATGTTCAACTTTTATATCTAAGGATTGAAAATGTATAAAAAGATTCCACGTAAGTAGTTAATTCTGTTACCAAAAAATCTAAAAAATACATAAGCACAGTTTATTTTTATAGTCATTTTAAGTTCAAATTTACTTAATACCTGTATACATTAATATACCTAATACATTACCATCCATTAAAAAGTGACCCACTTATAAGTTATAACCTACTATACAGCAGAGCAACATCCACTTACTTAGTTACCCACCTTTTTTAAATTATATTTTTTATAAAAGTTGATTAAGTGACTAAAAGAAAAAAGTGCTTTAATGTATTTTAATTTTGTTTTATTACAATTTGTAAAGATTTTTCTATTCAAACTCAAAATTTAAATATCTATTCAATCTAGAGAAAGCTAATAAATATAAATTTGAAATTATACACCTATATCGGCTATACCTAATAATTTAGTAATATCAACTCAGCATTTAGAGTTTAGAGTTTAGGATGGTCCAACTGTTTATACATTTTTAAAGGGCCTAGGGGCTAGGATTTTCTCTATTATGTTCTTACCTACAGTTACCTATTATATTAATCACTAATAATCAATTATAGCATTTTATGAAACTTCTAAGTACTAACTGTCCATAGATTATAATTTATTTTTCAGTATGTATGTTGTTGTAATTCTGGCCCACAAATAGTAATAAATAGTAAACAAAACAAAACAATAGAACTCAACTTTTCATCACATGCAACCGACCACGACGGCACAATCTAAATTCCAATTTCCAACCACACACATTTAAAAAACATAAATACTGTTTTCCAGTTAATTTGAAATAGATGACCGATAAACACATTTTACAACCATTTATATTTTATATACCTACTGTACATTGTATACGTCATAGTGATATGCCGATATGTATAGTATTAATGATAGAAACCAGTGTAATAGGCTGCAGATTTTCGATTGTTTTTCTATTATATATATTTCTATTAAATATTACCTATTTTCTATTATCAGTTCAGCACTAAAAAATATAGTAGTGGTGAGTGACTGCAGTGCTAAATACTAATGATACACCATATTTAGATCAAGGTAGGTACCAATAATGCGTTTCATCGGGTTCTAGCCTTCTAGTCCACTTTGTACGGTTGACATTAGAAGTGCGAAACTTAAAAAGCGGATATTTTGTAAGGCCGGGTAAAAGTTTATAGAATGAAGAACACGGACACTTAGTAATTATTTCAGTATACTATATACCTAAAGTTTATAATAATATAAGCAAGTGTGAAGTCATGATCAATTAATTGGCAATTCTATTAAAAATGTTATTCAATTTGAATACTACCTATTTGGTATATAAAATTTGATAATGCAATTATAATTTATAAATATAGGTACACCAAGTAATGTTTGGTTTTGGTTGTTACCTTACCTGTACATTTAAAAACTGATTATTTTGACTTTCTTACAACATTTGAATTAACTATTTCATATAAAATAACGTTTAAATCTCATCAAACTTCATAACATTATAATATGCACATTACACTTATATTTGCATGTATACTTTATGTATATAATAGTACAAAGTGTTCGCATTTTGCAATGAACATTTTTTTCAAAGTGTCTGTTTCATCGACGATTTTCAAATCGATATTTGGGGACCATCAAAGACAAGCATACATTTAACACATTTTTTTCAAAATTATAAGTACATTTATATATATTTGATAGGTACCTAATAAACTATCAAAGATTATAATAATAAAACTGATACTATTGTTTTCACTGTGTATAGTGTAGTTTAATTATATTTAAGAATTATGTACCTACTTTGGTCCAAAAAATATAGATTAATATATAAATACCTATGCAAAATAATTTCACACAAAAGCAGTAGAATTTAAAATAGTGATCTTGTTAGTTTAAGTACAGTATTTAAATACTAAATTCTGTACTACTGACACTTTTATTATACACCATCATGTTAATATATTTTGGTCAGTCAATATTAAACAATAAATAGGTTTATTATGTATAGCAAAATTAAGCAATATAAGTATAAAAATCCAATAGGTTTACGCTTTTAGAAAAAAATCACAATATAATTTAGTTGCTATACGTACTTTCCTTATAAAATTAAAATTAATGTAGGTATATAATATAAAATAAATGATGAAACTTAATTAAATAACAATAATAATATAATGATTTAAATAATAATTTGATGTATAAATGAAGTCACCTGTGAAAAAATTTAAAATTAAACCGTCGTTTAAGCAATAATTTTTAACAATAATTTCCTGTAGTCTCCAGAGGTATCTCCCTGAAAAATATAGAATAAATTAATAAAAATGACTTATTTAAGTAACATTAAACAATAAAAGAAAAAAAATATGAACAAAAAACTTACGGTTACCCACGACTCCAAACTTTTACCGTACTTCTTTTCGAACACTTGTTTTATGTCTCCTAGGTCGATTTCGGATCTAGACACGACAATTCTTATAAGAGTTTTGTCATCTGTTCCCAAGCCGGCCATACTCTTGTGTAAACGCTCAGCGAAGAAGTCGACTTTACTCTTCACACACTTCACTGAAAATTCAATGGGCACGATTATTTAAATGTAGGTATAACACATATCATGAGAAGAAGCTAAGAAGAAACCACCAGAACAGTCATGGAATGGAAACCGGCAGGGAAAAGGCCTCGAGGCAGACCGAGGAAGAGGTGGTAGCTGACGTAGTGATGGCGGCAAAGACTCTCTGGTCTTTTAGGGTTGTGAATGCCAGTGAAGAAGAATAAGAAGCAGGTATGACACATAAAAACATCATATTATAGGTATTGACGTATTGTATTTGTCATACATTACTTCATTTATTGTAGAGTATTATAAAAAAAATGATAAATATTTTGTCTGCAATAAAAAATTATTATTCGTACCCAGGGACAGTAGGCCCATGCAAATATCTCCAGAAAATTCGCTTTTGATTGATTCTTCCAAGTCCTTAGAAGCCAATTTTTCATACTCTACAAATACGCGCCTCAAATGCTGGTAACTTTTAGTAACCAAAATCCTGTTGAATTCAGATTCGTCAGTGCCCCATTTTATTTTTTCTCCTGCGTTGTACAAAGCCTCGGCATCTATACGTGCCGCGTTCTCATCAACAGTAGGCGTTTCATCTCGATTTCCCTGAAAAATGAAATTTTTCATTCAATATTCGAACAATTGTAAACCAATCAATTAACATTCAATCAATTAACATTAAATTCTGATAACAAAATCGACAAGAATTTAATAAATGCTAAAACAAGAGATGATTCTTTTATACTAGATGAGGTTGATAGTTTTGTGATATTGACGCAGTTTGCTACTTACTTATCGTTAAATCTGCTGATGGCCACGAATCAGACGTGCCTTATAAATTGTATTAGAATCTACTATTATGATTTATGAAGTTGATTTTATGTATTATAAAATTATTTCATAAATAAAATTCTATATAACAATTTAATGCGTATTGCGTATATACCGGTATAAATGTATAATGTTTTAATGTACTTTCACAAAAGTACCTATTTTGTAAAATATATGCCTGTATATATATATATATTATACCTGACAGTTCTGTAATATTATTAAATAATAATATAAATATTGGATAATAGTTTACATATAATGAGAAATACGCGTCTGAAATCTAAATGTCCAAAATGTATTAATGAGATTATATTATTATAGGAATATAATACATTAATACCTAGATACATAGCCAGATTGCCTCATGATCAGACCAAGCACCTACAAGTTAAAATAATATGTTTAAACACAATCAGTCGATAATAATCTTAACTCTCCGATCATCTGTCTTATGCGCATTGCCAAATGCCAATAATGACACTTCTTTCTCCCCCTAAAATTTGAGCCTATAGTTTCCATAAAGCACTTTATTATTTTTTATATTCATATCCAAAGGGTTCGTCCTTACTGTAAAAAAAAAAGTAATAATAGGGTAACTACTGGTGACCACAATAATTTCACAGTGTGATCAGTTTCAATGAAAATGTTTGTATGAAAAAAATTGGATTAATTAAAAACTGTGACTCACTCTAAGCATCCATAATATGCGTCATATTATGCTTATCTGGGCTCTTTATTACTTGCTCATAATATAAGTATCTATAAGATATTTTAATAACTATGTTTATTTTAGATATACATACATTTCTCTATTTCAATATTTTCTATTGACTATTTGTAATTACCCATTGGTGACATCATATTATTATCGTGTACAGTTTACAACTAATGCAGTCCTATGATTATTATTATTGTTATGTATTATTATTATTGATGGTACTTTGGTAGGTACCTATACAAGCAGTGTTTTAAATTTTAACAAAAAAACGAGCAAAGTTTATTAATCATATTATAAATACCTACCTTCTATCTTTAATTAATAAATGATTGCTATAGGTAACTATTTAATCGTCATATATTCTCCAAAGCAAAATTATGTTATAGTACAATATCAATGAGCTAATATAACCTCACACGGGTGCATAATAATAAAATGAATTATAAAATATGTATTATTATATTATTATCTTACCATACTTAAAGATACGCAAAGACGTTTGAAATGGCCCGATGTATCACCTTTAATATCCTTCTCGAGATTATGTCCGTAAACTGAAACCATAATACATTAATTTATCGTTAGTATAAGTCTGATATTCAAAAAAGTACCTCAAAATACGTATACATATTATTTTTTAATAATAATAGGTATGCAGTTTCAAAATAAATAGTTTTGATTGGAAAAAAAAGCAGTTCACGAATCGCTAGTATAATGCATGTGCATGTGTGATAATAATTATCGAGATTATTTTTAAATAAGTCTGCAAATAATACACTGCACAAGTCTGGGATATCGTGTTACTTTCCAATTCTAAAATGTCGGACATACCAGTGGTATTACAAGAATGACGGTGATAAGGTGTAGAAATAGCTGTTTTAAATTCCTCGTTCTATTTTAGCCGTATAAGATAAACATGTGTTCAATAGACTACACATACACATAATATGAGTATAAGTATATTATATTGTTGAGACATCGAGTGGTAATATGGTATATAAACGGATCAAAGAACTTTGGATTTAACCGATCATAATAAAATCGTTGGAGAATAATGTGGTTCTATCGCATGGAACTCTAATGTGTATTATACGACCGTTACTAACGATTTGTTAGTTTAGGTAGATAGGTACCTAATATTTTTATTTTTAAAACAACACATATCTGGTTCAAAATAAATATATACAATAATTTAGATTTTAGGTTACACCTACAAGTTACAACTATATACAACTGTGTAACTATAATATACACCAATATTAAGTGTTGTGAATGCGGCTGTTCTGACAATATAAATATATAATATAATATGCCTATTGTATAATTTAAGTACGAAAAAATATATTATAATAAAAACCACTCGCATAGTCGCACCGCAGTTAAAATGTTAAATACCTACTGATGTAAAAAATAATTGTATATTATACAACTACCTCGCTATGCCTCAGATAGATACAACTACAGTAAATAACTGAAGTCAGGCACGGCACTAGAATTTTTTTCCAGGGGGGGCAGAGTGGGGCAAATATTTTTTTTACATGGGCTAAAATTGTTTCAACAAATGCTGAGGTTATTTAAATGAAATATAAATATTTTCGTTTCATATAACATAATATAGCTATTAGCTATATAATATTACATACTTTTATATTGTATGCTCTAAACGTCTAAACATATAATATTTACAAACTTTTGAATAGTTAAAAATATTTTAAGAATAATATCAAATATTTTTTTTTGTACCTTATGTAATATGTAAGAAAATGTTTAATCACAGACCTAAGACCTTCAACAACTATATTCATAATGATAACATGATATACAAAAATAATAATTTCTTTATGAGCTAAATATTGATTTTTTATACAATATTTTTTTATGCACCATACAGTAAATGGTTGAAAATCTTATAATATTGAAAAAGTTAACAAAAATGTATACAATTGCACTGATATCAGTAGGAATACAATTTGTTTTAAATAAAAACTTTTGATTACCTACCTTATATTTAACAAATACATTTTAAATTTTTAATTCAATACATTTTTAAATTGGTATTTGCATAGTAGTGTATGTATTGACTATTGAAGTACCTACTTTATATTTTTTGTTAAATTTTGGAGGTTAAAATAGTTCACATATATACATTAAAACATAGATACTTTAAGAAATCCTTTTTTATTAATTATCAAGTAATATGTGAACTAATTACCATGACAAATAAGATTATAAAAATAACAAAATAAGAAAATTGAATAAATTATTTAATTATTTTAAATAAGAAATTTGTCATGCTAATTACCAAACTAATATAAGTAGGTAGGTACGAATACCAACTCCTTACACAATAGTATTGTGTTAATCAAATAACATAAACATATTTAAAATAATAAGTCAACTAAAAATATTTTTAACTGTATACAACAAACATTAATTATATCGTACATATTTTTCAGTGGGGGGGCTGGCGAGGGGGCTGATCTGTTTTCTGGGGGGGCTAGAGCCCCACCTTGCCCCCCCTTGGCGCCGTGCCTGACTGAAGTCGAAAAAAGTTTCAATTTATAAGTAGTCGTGCCATATACATGGGTTAGATATTAGACATGTAGTCACATTCCACGGGGGAGAGGAGCGGCCTTTCGGTTAATTTTCCTAGTTTCAAATGGACGCCGTAACCATATATCGTAAATTCGTAATGATGTCCGGTAATTTTATTACGGCTCTAAAATAACGCGACACGACACTCGTTCGTGCAATACTTTCATCAATTATTATTATTATTACATATAATGTATAATATTATGCTCTATACAATATAGCTAGTGTATGTGCGTCCGTTCAAAAAATAAAAAAAGTGGTTACTCATTATACAGACAACTGGTTCTCGTGAATGGGTTTTTAAGTTTTTATTTTCATTAATGAAATTAATTACGTTTTCGTGTGCAGAAATCTACGACGAATGATATTATAATACAATATGTATTTTATGTTGTCCAAAAACGACAGACGTCGTCGTAAATCATAATATATAATATTATTAGGCATGTGAAAATGTAAAATAGGTACTCGTCAAAGGTCGATATACATTTGACAGCGATTGTTGAAACGCGCGAACAATCAAAAACGTGATTTAAAAAATTTCATAATATAATATACCTTACCTATACTCGAAATAACGAATCAGTCAATACGAAATAAGGTGACAGGGTTTAGATATACATTAGGGTACAGAATTTTATTTTCGTACACTATTTCACAAACCGACATGTAATAAACTGTATATATTAATATTTAATGTTGCTGTATTAAATAATGTATTAATATATATTATATTTATATACATAAGGTTGAACATAACTAAGTTGAAGTTTAAATGCTATATATTTTACTATAATTTATGTTTTCAAAACAATATTTATGGTTAAACCATTATTTATGTATAATATTATCATTTATATTTTGCCAGTTTTTCGAAAAAATGACCAGTTAATTATTATAAGTATAGAGTTATCTGGATAATGATGCCAACTAAATACAAATTCATTCAGTTTTTCACTATTCATTAAATCGTTAATCAGACGTTAAATGCCTTACATATAATTATATATATTATAACTATTGACATAAAACATTAACTGTGGTCTTTAAAATTCTCATTATTATGATTATTTCAAACTCTATTTGACAAGAAGGTCAAGTTTGGAGAACATATTTTGAACAATAAATTATATGAAGAAAAAGTATTTTTGAAAGTATCTCGAGTTAGCTATATCCCGACTCCCACCAAGAAGATGAATAGTACCATCATCGTTCTACTTCAAGGGTATACCAGATATACCTATACAAGCTAATACCTATACGGGAACCACTATTTGGTCAAAAATTATTAACCATATTACAGACATTTTCGTGTTGATACCTAATATAATTAAATGAATACAATAATATCTTTATAATTTGGATTTAACGTTGTGTTGATGTAAATGTTAGGGAATTTGAATATTGATGAATGTATGATACTATTTGAAACTTCCAGTTTGATAAGTTGTATTTAAAAACATTTCTGAAATAAATTTATAATTTCAAATGATGTGATGCCGAAAATATTAACCCTTAAATCATTTCCAATAAATATAAACATAGACAATGGAATCTTTTCATTTTTAAATAAATAATATTACGTAAATATATTTACAACTTTAATAAAGATAAATCCAATAAATATATAATTATTGTAAAATTAATATTTAATGTAAATGTATAACTAGAAAAATAACAGACATACTAATCTTTGAACTAGGTAAAAAAAACAAAATAATACAAAAAATAATTATAGTTATAGATATACAGGATACCGCAACCGAGTGTTGGTCCACTGAACAGTCCCTGGTCGTTATGTCGCTCAATATACTCGGCCAGTTCAGTGTAACCGTATTATAAATTATAATCATAAATTAAAATCAATGATTAAGTATTAAAATTTGGGTTGTGGCTAGGTTATAGGTCAAAAACAAGTAGGTACCTATGTTTTCAAATATTTGTAAGTACGTTTATATATTTAAATTTGTAACCTGTTAATAAATAATTACACTTTTAAAAAACCACATCTGTGTCACGATTCTAAGAAAAGTATTCTCAATTTTTAATGCCTTCCCACAGCAAAAACATTAATAAATACTTTTCCAGAGGAGGATTGCAGTGCAAAGAAAAAATACAGACTGTAAACGCTGTGCTTGGTATCTAAAATTAGAACAATAATAAATATCAAAACTGCAACGAAATTAATAATGTCAAATGTCAATTGATTTTTTAACCGTCATTCGAGTACTTGGAAAAAACAAATGTTTAAATTCATTAGTCATTAAACATAATATATTTATACAATTAAAGTCTAAATGCACTAAATTATTGATTGATAACAATGGCAATAATATAATATGCTATTAATTCTCAGTGTTTATTGTTTTTGATGTATACCTAGTACTAAATAAATAATGTATCCGTCCCTTGTGTAGAAACTAGTATTATTTATATATATGTATAGGTATGCAGATAATTTACGACTATCCCAATGTCATTATGGTGTAAATTCTTCGAGACATAATAAAAAACTTAATACTAACTAGGTATGTTTTTCTTTTTTAATGTTGATTGCATCATCAAACGTAGAATATAAAATAAAAACGCTGCCTAAATACAATAGAAAAGTTATCGCATATGCCGTATTTCAAGCAAGTTTCAGGCTGTTAAATTTGTTTTGATTATAATTTCCTTATAGGTATAATATATTATTGATATTATGTTTAATGTTTATATATTATGCACTCGAGTGTATAAAATTCGAATTTCATAAAAATTTCAAATATCAATATCAGTATCAAAAATATAGATTTGACCAATTAACATATATAGCTGGTACCTATGCATAAGTAAATTTAGGATCGTAATATTGATGATTGGTAGGTAGTATAGGTACCTACCTAATTTTCCCAAACAAACGATCTTTCCATTTTAATTAATCTGATTATACTTACGTTTTTCATAACATTCGGATACTGTCCGTACACCGAAATTGCTCAAGGTACACAATATCTCAACGAGCACTTCCTCGTGGGTGCCTATTCCGGAGATAGCGTCATGCAACTCCTTTGCATACAAGTCCGGAAGTGGCGTCATCATGGCCAACACGGTGTCCTCGAAGTGTCCACTTAGTTCATTTTTTAATTCTTTTTTCAGATCCTAAACATTGTTTTCATCGTGATAACATATACTATATGTTAATAAATTATAATCCACGCTCTAACGATAACACCCAAAATGTAAAATTTTAAGATTTAATTTTTACCTTTCCATACAATGTCTTGAAGGCCTCTGCAATTTCAATGCGCTGCACAACTCCTCGATTTGCGATCACGTCAATTATGACTTTTTGGTCACATCCAAAGCCTTTCATTGCCTTTTTAAGAGCAATAGCATCTTCTTTTGCATCGAAATTTGGTGATGCAAATACGGTAGGAGTACACTTCAAAAAAAAATAAATAAAAGGTTACGGATTGAATATATTATTATTATAATTCCTATTTATCTTTTGGTCAAACATTTTACCCAATAATAAAATACCAATAATTACGATGCCATAATGCATTGTAGCATCAATGTATTAGCGATTTAAGAGAAAAATATATAATGAGTACAAACTAAATTGTATATTATGTTATTAAGTGTTGTGTGCCAACCCCTTTTTTATTACAACAATCTCATAATGTTTAAAAATTAACATCATACACATCGGCCATCTATATTATTAATTATTATAATATCTATATAATAAAGACTACCTAAAGAGACACCCAGTATATTGTGAATTGTGATGAATCATGCTATCATGTTCATCCGTACGCGTATGTACTGATATTAATATCGATAGTTGCCATCTGCAACTTACTTATTCACATTTTAAATCAATCATATCATAATATATTATGAACACGGATAACTAATTCTACTAAATGTGTTTACTGTGGTAGTGTGGTCTGTGAAGTATAACTAAACGCTGGTGTATGTTAGCCATAGCTGAGAAAGTGAAATATATTAGGTAGGTTATTCATAAACATGAGTAGAAAAAAAACCTTATTTTAACTTACCTATAAACTATTTAACTACTTATTCATAAAACCATCATCCAATCATTTGTTATACAATTGCAAGTAATCATAGCAAAATATGTCCAACGGGGTTCAGAATAATAATTGATCAAATAATTAACTTTTAATAATTTTTTCATGATTTATAACTCTTAATTTTTAAGACAAATTAGATGGACAATTTTGTTACTTTAATTTAGATGTTGTTCGTATTTTGGGGGTCATTAAAAATATATTTCAACGACATAATTAATCGAGTGTAATCTCTTGTATTTTAATATACCTATTAGTATTTTATATAAACCATTAATTACATGATAGTAATTTTTATTTATGATATTAAATTATTATATTATGTAAATATCAAAATATAAGTACTTATATATAAGATTCTAACTTATGGTAATTAGTAATTACTAACTATTATATATACTGCAAGAATGAATAGATTTTATTTTATTCATACTAAATAGCTCTTTTCTTGGATCAGCGTCAGTTAGACATTTAAACATTTGAATTATTAATAACTGTGTCTTAGTCATATCATAATCGACATAATATCCACTGCTTTTAATTATTTGATGAAGTTAATAAACTGTGACAAAATTATTTACTTTGTACTCAACGAATGTCGGTTTATAAAATAATGGTACCTTGTACCTTACCTAACTATAAGAAAAACAAATATTCCACATGATGATTTAGTAGGTATGTTGTACAAAATAAAGGTATTAGGTATATACTATACAAAATAAATTAGCAGTTATTTAAATATGTTTATATAGTAAACAAATAGCTATAAGTTTATGGGAAGTCTTTTGAAAATACTTAATTATAATGTATTTATGTGACATTAACAGTGGAAACAATAATCAATAAATGCAAATAACGATATTATATTTAAAACTTTTATCAGAAAATTAATTTGATTGATAAGACCAACGAATTAATTCTGATATTTAGTATAATTAAAAATAAAACAACAATAAGATTATCCGCGGTAATTCTGTGATGTTAAGCCGCGCGTTTGTTTGATACACTACCTATCTAGAAATTCGCTAAACTAGACCGGTTTAAAATTATCCCATATTATCCAGCACCAGGATAATGAACCATGTAAATGATATGATCCAAACAGACCAAACATCCCGGTGAATTATTTTTCACACCGCTTTAGACTAGTGAATTTGTACTAGCGAATATACACACTATAAATTACACACTCCTTTCGCTCCCAACTATATGGGGTCGGCCACCCTTGTCTCTTGAAGGTATAAAATTTCGGTTATAACCACTAAGTGAGGTATTCCACCAATTATTATAATGTAAACGGTTGTGTAACATGATTATGTAAATAATATGCAGCTTAGTATAGATATATCTTAAGGTTAAGATATAAATATATAATATAGGTAACCTACGCTTCGTATTCGGAACCGGCGAAGTTCGACAAATCCTCCGACTAGGCGTCAGTGTTGTAACTTTAAGTATCTATGTAGAAATAATTATCTACAAGCAACGGTTATGTCCTTTAAATTATTTTTAAATCATAACCTGTTTCCTCATCTCTTTAAAAAAAGTTCAGTTGGTGTTGTGCTGTTTATATGATATTTTATGAAAACTAAAGTAAAAAAAAATGTTATTACGGTTCTGCCGAAAACAGAAACAGAAATGTTTTATTTCTTTTGTTCAAAATATTAAGTAGTGCTTATATTATCGGAGAAGAAGGTTGAACAAGTAACGCCCTTTTTTATTATTCAAATAACTAAATAATTTCATAGCTGAAAGAACTAAAAAAAATTGTGGTATACCATCTCCTTCTCTCCCACATACTACATACCCACATATTCAATAAGACGAGTATATTTACAGTGATGGCCGAGGGGCCAAGGGGGCGGGTAGATCCCTGGTGAAATATCAAAGTCGTGGCACTGAATGGGTATAGTATGGGAGTATGTTGTGAATAACATATTATCAAATTATATCATACTTTTAGAAGGGTCAAGTGATCACTCTAATCAATAGAAATATGGTGTGAATAATTATCAAACCCTGATGGAACATTGGAACACAACAGCGACTGCGAAGAAAAATTTAAATAAAAAAAAAATGATCGCTAATAATAATAATTATTATTATAAATTACATTATATTAAATGAATTGCATGTTATAAGTTTTGGTCGTGTGTACATCGTTTGTGCAACCTATTTTATTAATTATCATTCTAATACCGTATACTAATCACTAATATCCTAATGGAAATGTATTGGAATAATATCTATTTATTCTATAATAGTGTTATAAATTTAGCGCCGTGGCTTACTTTTGAGGAAACGTAATTGGCCATGTCGTCGCGTCTGGAGACTTGAACGGGACGTAGCGACCACTAGTTGTTGCGGGACGAGAAAACTAAAATCGGTCGACGGACGTGACGGGGCGGAGATCGTGGGGAAAACTCTAATGGCATATAAGTTCGGCGGCGGCGACGTCGAAGATTGACGGCGTATCGGGCGTGACTGAACCACGGACCGCGACACACTCGACTCTCGAGTACCCAACAATGTATTATTATTGTGATGAGAGTTCGAAACTACGGAGCGCGCGCGCGCATGTGCGATGATGTCATACCTTATATATATATATATGCGTTATACACTTATACATATATAGCTGATGTGCCGCCACTACCACCGAAAACGGCCGCCGACGTAATTATTATTGTTATTAGTGTACTACCTTCAATCGGCCGCGGAATTTTTTACCGTGCCAAGGACGCGCCCGCCGTTAGGGGGACCACGCGTTATAATAATATATTATATCTGTAGGTATACTTATTATTATACATAGCCACATAGGTATATGGTATATCTGGTATCCGGTATATGTATATGAATTGTGAGTACCGCTCGCCGCTCGGGTTAATGGTTAACAGTCGTCCAACTAGGACCTACCGCCGAAGTCTACAACACGATACTGCAGTGTAGGTACCTACCATGTAAGATACATCAGAACCTACGCGAACGTATACACTATAGTCTATAGGTAGTAGATAGGAGATACCCATCACCTCGACTCGACTTTTAACGCTAGTATTGGGTAGGTAGGTTAGGTATATAATATATACATAGTAATATAGTATACTGTATATATATAATATAGTTACATAGTCGCAGAGAAATTCGTATAGAAATCTCGGATTTCGTGATCGTCAAACGACTGCACGAGCATAATATTATAGAAGTACCAACATCATAAATATTTATACAATGTGCATATTGCGTAGGTATACTATATTATTATATTATAGTTATTGCGCGTCACTATAATCGCCGACGGATCGTCATCAGCTAGATAGTTGATAGATAACTTCATTTTTTTACGATTTCGAGTGCGATTGACGATTTTATCGTCGACGAAGACTGTAACTTTAATACGAGTCACTTATAGACATTAGTACTCGTTTTGAGTGAAATTTTCCAGAATTTACGTTTACCTTTAATACGCTTTATTAAAAATTAAATACACTTATTACATACTATGATATCATATCGCACCTTCGTCGTCGGTATAATGAACTCTGTTGCTGTAACAATTGCAAGTAAAAAAATATCGTATAATATGCCGCTGAGGTCGCGTATTATAATAAATATACATTGTGTGTTGTGTTGACCGCGTACACACTGGGTTAATAATACGTGTTGCCTTAAAGACTGGCGTACAACCTATGCGTGCGTATGTAGTAAATAGTAATTATATATTATAAAAAATATATTATATATATAAACATTATAAAAGCAATATGCAGTGCACAACACGCGCGCGAGTCGCTATATAATATACAATTTTGTATTATACACAGTTGTCACGCGAAGCCACCGCCATCCAGAAAGAGGCGTAAACTATTATTATAAAAAATAAAACAATTCTAGAAATATTATGAGCATAATATCGGTCTCTATTTTTTTTATGGTTTACTTTAATAAGTGTAATTGTAAATATAACACACCGCGGTCAAAAGCCCGCAGCAATGTGCAGTATAGACGTATAGTACTACTATACGTCTATACCTATATTATAGTAGCCGCATGATATTACAGATATTATATGGAGAATTCGTTTCGAAATGCTCAGCGAAACCAGACTTAAAAGTCAAATAGAATATGGTACAATTGCTGCTGGTTTATTAATAATATTGGTAGGCAACTCGAGGAGCTTATATTACCTTTGCATAATATTATGATCCGCAATAAACATAAATAGGTACGTGTGTGTGTGTGTATTTATATAATATGTAGCCTGAAGTCCGTTTTAGATCATTTCGTTTTCGAAAAGAGCCGACAATAACGTGATTGAAAAGTATAATACATAAAATATACATTAAACATATATTTTACTAATAATGCGGCAGTGACGCAGTGTATATAATATAATATTATAGTTCTATAGTGAATCTCAATAGGTGAGTACGAAATATGTGCAGATTATTAATATATAAATATCCTTATTTCTTTGCTTTTCTGTGTATTCTTCTTACAAATATTCTTACAAATAAGTATTCGTAATTTTTATATTATGTATTTATACGGTGAAATGTATAATATAATTAAGTTTTATTGAAAACATTTTAACAAACTATATTCTCTGACAACGTGTAGGTATATAGTACTATCTTCCAACCATACTCCTCAGTGCAGATTTACTGTTATTATAATTTATCGTGATCAATGAACTGATTATGGTTTCCTAAAAATATTTAAAAAGGTCACTCGTGTTGTCATTAGATAATATGAGACATGCCTGAGGAAAACTAATAACCTAAAAACGTATCTAACTTACGAACTGTTACGATGTACAATAACCCGTCGTCGAAGTGAAAGTCAAATTTAAAAATAAAGCTCCACCTACATACGGAAATTATTCAACTATAGATATATAATATAAATATATATAATATTGTAATTATTGCATAGTAAATAGTTGCATCTGCATTCTACACCGGTAGGTACGCCAATAACTGTAACCTAAAAACTGAATATACGAAAGAATAATATTGTTACGATTATTATTTATTTGATTATTGGTTTTTAACTTTTCAAGTCCCTTTTGTACCAAATGTGAATTATTATATTATATTGTATTTCATTCAATTTAACATTCAATCCAATATCGAATATCGTAATGTACGGAAATATATATATGTATCTGTAACTGAATAATAAATGAATATTGATATTTACAGGCATAGGTTAGTAAGTTATACGTCATGTTTGTTTTACCAACATGGTTATAAGTTATATATAATATTATTATAGCCGTGGTTTCTAATAAAAATGTAAATAAAAATAAAAATGACTACAAATAAATAATAATATTATAATATAGTTTAGCCGTATATGTAATAGGTATTCTTACATAACTATTATTAATTCGTGCATAATACATAAAGAAGTTACCAGTTGGCAGTTTCCAACATCTATATTCATGCATTTTGCATGTACCTATACTGTATAGGATATAATCTATATACAAAATTTGTAATTAACTGAAACTTTTTTTGGTTCTTTTACTATGTTATTAGATATTTTGATTTATATATTATAGTGAGTATTAGGTACTATATTGAATATATATTTTTATCAGAATTCACAACGTACAGATGGAATTTAATTTATTTTATCATTTTGTACCTAGCCATTCGTAATCATAATTCATAAACCATCAACAATATAATATTATTATGATAATATTGAGTACTATACCTACATGGCTAAATAGTTTAGTTCTTTAGTGCTTGCATGTATTGTGTTTAATCTATCTAGCTGTAAAAGTTAACTATTATTTCATTTCAGATAAAAATATTTTATACCATTATAAATAGTTTGGCAGGATGGCTATAATATAATCGAAAGTGTCCTGCTACTGACTCACTGACTACTAAGTTCAGTGGCGTATTCATGCCCCCCATGAACCCCCTCCCTGGCTCCCTGAAGTATAAACTCCCCTCCATGAACCTGAGGTAATTAATTAACTTTTATATAAAACACAATTTTTTCTTTAAAATTTTATATTTTTACAATTTTGACTTGGAAATTATATTAAAAGTTTATATAAATGTATTATACACACACGCATACACGCATGCTATATGCATACAAATATGTAAGTCATAATAATATAATCATAATATATTGTGTAAAACTGTAGTTTATTCCATATTAAGATAATTTTATAACAATTATAAGTAATCGTTTATTAAAACATAAATCTTTGTTGAAGAGTTTTAATTGTTCTTTTCCGATTAAAGAGAAGATATTCCAGATAATTTAAAAAATTACATAACATATAATTAGTACAAAAATATTCACAATTATTACCATCTTCTTCTCTTTTAGTAGTAATTGCAGAACATAGATTATGATGAACTTTTCTACAAAATTTGTCTAATATTCCATCTAATTTATCAGAATTATATTAAATAATTGTGATGAAAATTACTATCCAAATGTCTACAAACTTAAAATCGTGGCAACATTGCCCATTACAATAAATAAATTAATAAAGTTTAAAATTTTTATTTGTTTAAATACAATAAATTGATTAATTTAATTGTTTGAACATGTTATATTTTTACAATGAAGTAAAGAGTGGTAAAATTAAATTTGCTGACCCCCCCACCATAAAAAGTTCCTAGATAGTGACTGATCAATGTAGAGCCTAAACAATAATAGCTTGAGGCTTGAAATTTTTACGGTACATTCGTACCACCATATATATATATAAGTGTGCACTAAGTAAGCATTTTTCAAAATTCGCATTTTAATGTAGTGTGGCGACAATGTCCCGTCCGGTTTATAACACACAAAGCATTTGGGAAATTATAATATTCTGTGAATATTTTGGAGTGCTTAAATAATAATTATTTGACTAATAATATTGTATAAGTATACTTTATACTCATGATAACAAATTATTGGACTATATGGTTGCACAAAAAATTGACTTAATATTTTTATAATGTTTCCATGAAAATGTTTTTTTAAAAAATATGACTAAAATGTTTTGATAATGTTTTTTACAAAATATTTGTGAAATAATGTGAACTTCTTGACCAAAAAATAAAAATAAAATATTTCCTTATTATTTACTCAACTTTTTCAAATATTTTTACAACTATATTGTTTTCCTGAAAATATTTTTACTGTAGTTGGAAAATATTAAAATGCTGTGTGGGAATGAACGTATTCACCGGTCCGGTGGCTGAACTCTAAAACGGTGCACAAGTATTATTTAATATTTAATATTTCAATAAGACAGTAATACAAAGAATAATTAATAATTAAACTACAT